CCATCCTGCACCCCACCATAGCCCAACACTGACATCTTGTGGTGCTGAGGGGAGACCCCAGCGCATCTGGGAGGGATGGAAACCCTCTGAGATACCTACAGAAAGCTGTGTCTTCAGGGATGCCCTGGGACCACTGCTGGAGAGGCAGCAGAGTTGGGCTCGGAGATCCCTGCCGAGCCCTGGAGCTGGACCTGGACCTGTCCACTGCCCCTTGACAAGTGCATGTCCTCCCTTGCAGTGTGCGGCTGCGACCTGGCCCAGTCAGGCTTCTTCTTTAAGAACCAGGAGTACATCTGCACCCATGACTATCAGCAGCTCTACGGGACCCGCTGTGATAGCTGTGGGGACTTTATCACTGGAGAGGTCATCTCGGCCCTGGGGAGAACCTACCACCCCAAGTGCTTCGTATGCAGCACCTGCAGGTGAGCTGACGCGGTGACTGTCTGCAGGAGCCTTGTGCAGCCCTTGGCTGTGCACCAGGAAGGGGGCTGTTCCTTAGCCCACAGCCCCTCAGCACCACAGAGGCACCTCCTCTGTGTTTTCTTGGTGGAAACCCTTGGGAGGCAATGAAACGGCTCCAACCCTTCCCTTTGCAGCCTGGAGACCTGCCTTAATGTCTGCCTTGGTCTTCCTGCCCCAGCACATGGGCACACTTGCCTCCCTTTGTAGCCCTTGCCTGGAGCCCCTCTGCTCCCCAGAGCTGTGGGTCCCACTGGCACCTGGGGAAAGAGCTCATGGGCAGCCCCAAGCACTGTGTGGAGGGGAGTGAGCAGCTCACACCTCCTCGCCTCTCCTTGGCTGCAGGAAGCCGTTCCCCATTGGAGACAAGGTCACGTTCAGCGGGAAGGACTGCGTCTGCCAAAACTGCTCCCACTCTCTCATCAGCACCAAGCCCATCAAGATCCACGGGCCCAGCTGTAAGTTGACTGCTCTCGTGTTACCTGATGGACCACGTGTCCCTGGATGGTGCTGGGGGGGTGTGATGGGATGAGATGGGATGGGTGGTGCCAGTGTGCAGTGCTGCACAGGGCAATGGGTGTTCACAGAGGTTTTGGAGGAGGAAGAGGGTAGTCCCGCAGCTCCACCCAAGACTGCAGGTCACCACTGGTTTCAAAAACTCCCTTGGCCTGTTTGTGACCCAGGCAGGTGTTGCCACCCCAGTGGGCACTGTCTGGAGTGGCAGAGAGGTTTGGGAGCTGGGTTTGCTCTGTGACAGTGCCCAGATGTTGCTTTGTGTCCAGCTGCACCAAGGTCTTGTCCACGTGCCAGCCCTGGGAACGCTCACCCAGCTTTCCCCACACTGGTGCTGCTGCCTCTGCCAGCACTGAAAGGCTTCTTACACTCGTCCCCTTGCGCTGATGAACCCAAGCTAAAACTCAGCAAGGACAACGAACAGGCTCTTTTGGGTGGATTTGGCCTTGCTTTTGACCCCAGGTTGTTCCTTGGCGTAACCTCTCTTCGTGCCTTGACCCCCCAGTTTCACTTTGCTGTCCCAGGCCACTGCAGAGCACCCCATGGGTGCTGTGCTTGAGGGCTGGTAGAGCATCGCTGTGACATGGAACTGCTGCACACAGGGCTCACTTCAGCCCGTGTCTGGAGCAAGGGGACTGAGTGTTAACGTGGTCCACGCTTCGCTGTCTGCCTCATGACCGTGTTTGCTGCTGTCAGGTCCTGGGGGAGCTGTCTCAGCGTGATGCACGGGCAGGTGGCAGAAGGCACCGGGAGCTGTGCCACACCATGGTGCCCAAACCCTGCTATGTCAGCAGGCTGAGCTGGGCAGGGGAGTCGGGGGGGCCCTTGCTGCTGCAGCTCAGCAAGTTCTGGAGCATCAGTGCCTGAAGCAGAGTCCTGCAGCCAGGGCTGGACCCAGGACTGTGGTCTCACCCATGGTCCTTGTCACCTAGTCACCACAGTGGCACTACTAGTGGCTGTTTGGAGCGAGTTTGTGCTAATGGGTACCTGGAAGCCCCCTCCAATCTCCCTCTGTCCAGCACTCACTGTGGCCTCAGTGGAGTCAGGGGATGTGTCGGGGTT